GCGTATCTTTTTTGATGCGTATCTTTTTTGATGCGTATCTTTTTTTGATGAAACGTCTATTTAATTTGTCACAGAGGAACACCAAGCATCTAGTTGTGTAGATAGCAATCTAGAACGTAGCTTTCATTCCTTCCAGTATTTTCTGCAAAGTGGGGGAGTAGGTCATGTACAGACAACCTCAGTCTTCACAGTCCCGTCTTTACAGAGGTGAACAATTAAATACATTAGACTCAAGAAAAGTCGACAACAAAGCCTGAGATAACAATGAAGAACCCTCGAGGGCCCACTAAAAAATAAAGATACTGCCTTTGCACATCAGTAACTTCAATTCAATAACCACACTGAATGCTTATTACCACGCTAAATACTATGGGAGTGGCAAGCACTACCTCAAAAGGCTATTTTTAATTATTAGGATATACATAGGACCAAAATCACCATTATGGAAATGGTGTCCAAAAGCAAAAATTTGAATTGTAGTGTTTCCTCAGTTTTAGGCCTTTGACTCTAGGACAATCATCCCTTAAGCATGTAGCTAAACAAGTTTAGAAATGAATTCTCATAAAAAGCAGTAATTTTATGCTTAGAATAGGAAGTCTGATGTGATGTTAAAATCAAGCAAACAGTTCAACATACTTTAACCCTATTTACTGTGGGCAAAATAACAAAACTTAAATTCTGCATTGTAAGACAAGTTTCATAAAGCATCTGAGCTGGGTGTTGTGGCTTACATCTGTAATCCTTTTACTTGGAAGGTTAAATTTGGATCTCATTAGCCTGCCTCAAGCTTTCCAGGGACCTGAGACTGTAGGTGTGCACCACCATGCCCAGGCCCAACACCCTATTTCTCTAGTGAAGGTGACTACAGTTATTACCCCAAGATTGTAACAATAGGCAACAAGAACTGAGAACTAAGCCAGGCGTTGGTGGCACACGCCTTTACTCCCAGCACTCAGGAGGCAGAGGCAGGAGGATCTCTGTGAGTTCGAGGCCAGCCTGGTCTACAGAGCTAGTTCCAGGACAGGCTCAAAAAGAATACAGAGAAACCCTGTCTGAAAAAAGGAAAGAAAAAAAGAACTGAGAACTAGACAGAACACATTACTGTTGGTTCTGGTGGGATTTTTTTGTTTGATCCTTTTTCTAGATTAGGTATTAACAATACTGTATATAATCAATACTGTTCTGTAGCTCTAGAGACTGAACTTAAGGCTTCAAGCAAAGTCTTTATGGTAATTTTTTATTGCCCACTATATAGAGATACTGTCCAGTCAGCTCAGATTCTCAGTAACTGTTAATGCAAAAGGAAATTTATGTTCTCTGGTTTAATACCAGTATATTTAATATGAGGTCAACTTAGCATTTATTTTTAGTACATGTACTGATTTTCCCCAAGTTAACACGTTTAGCTAAGAACAAAAGGGCAGATTTTTGTATTTTTATCCCCCCCCCAGGAGGACCCAATTTTTAATGTCCTGTAAAAATGTCCATTTACTTTGTCCACAATTCTCTGGGTTTGAGTTCTTCCCTGTCACTTCTCCCTGTGATGCTCAGGCCAAGCCCAGTGCTTTGTGCATCCCCAGCGTTTTATTGTAAAGCAGGATATTTATTGTGGTGTGTAAGATGTGTGGAGGATAAAGGTCTCCTCCCATAATGTGGGTCATGGAAACTGAACTCACATCACCAGGCTTGCAGGCCCAATGCCTGTATTTGTTGAGCCATCTTACTGATGGATAAGTTTTTATTGTTTTATTTGTTTTAGACTTAATTTCTTGTGTGTGTGGGGGGGGGGACGTGGCATGTGTGTACAAATGCCCTCAAAGAACAGCAGAGGGTGTCAAATCCCCTGGGGCTGGAACTACAGGTGGTTTTAAACTACCCATGTGGGTGCTGGGAAACGAACTTGCATCGTCATCGGGAAGGGCAGTCAGCACTCACTCCTGATAAGCCATTTCTCCAGCCCCTATAAATGTATTTTTAAATAGTTGGCGACAGGAAATGCCTTTCCTTAAATTTTGCAGTAGCCAAATGTTTTTTATCCAAACTTGAAAAACAGTGGTGGGGCTGGATCAGTATGGTACACAGCTAATGCATTGCTTTCTCATGGAGTAACATGTCTGGGAAAAGTTCACGCACGCATGCACGGGAATGGACAGGACTGCTAAGTCTCGTCAGTTTTAGGGACTTTCTGAAACTACAGAGTTGTTTACTTCTTAAACTTCCTGTAGGATGGACTGTTTCACCTTTAGAATATCCCGTGTCTGAACCCCCCATGACAGCGCCCCGTACCAGCAGGAAATAGTTTGGAAAGAACGACTCCCAAATTCCCAAATATTGTGTATAAATGTTTACCATTTAATTGGACTGTTATATAAAATTAAAAAAAAAAAAAAAAGAATATCCTGTGTCATCTCCCTACAGATATCCTGTGAGTTGCCCTCCAAAGTGGATGATTTTAATCCCAGGATATTTCTACACAACATTAATGTAGCCAGAAAAACCTAGTTCAAGACCATGTTGTAACAGATCCAAATTTAGAATTGCAGGCCCAACCTTAGAAATAAAAGTAATCAGGCTTAATATGACTTCAAATATACCTTTCTGGTTTTGTGAAGGCATTGTCTGGCTGGCCATGAATTGTTCATTTTGGGGGAGAGGGGAATCCAGAGTCTCATTCTGCAGCCCAGGCTGACTTTGAACTTGGTTTTGATCATCCTGTAAAAGGTCCTCTACAAGAGCAAGTGCTCTTAACTCTTGAGCCCTCACCAGCCCCCTAAAGTTCACATTAACACTGCTAAATGCAAACCTTGTTCATTTGAATAAAACTTCCTGTTTAAACGGGAATTATTGAAACACAGAAATTTAATCTTGCTCAACATGTATCCGTATCCACTCTTTGCAAGTTATGACCTACCACTAACCATCCAGGCACATATAAACTCCATTTGCTACCAACAAGAACCTACAAAAGTAAGGAAATTATTATTGGTAACAAGAAAAACATACAAGGCTGTGGATTTAACTGAAGGGCCTTGAATGTTAAGCACATTAGCTCGTTAACCTACATCTCCAGGCTCCAGAATGAATATATAAATTGAAATATAATTTTACATTTTCTACATAGAAGTATTGGAAAGTTTGCACATAACTTGAAAAGTATAATTACTAATTAAAAAAAAAAACTATTTTATTTCTTTTGAGGCAGGGTTTCTTTGGGGTGTTGGAGGCTCTTGTAAACCAGGCTGAACCATTAACATCTTGACACTGTATAAAACTACCTTAAATTGAACCAAACAATCCATCACATGGCAAGACATCCTGAAAGAGCCTAAGTCTTTCATGTATAGGAGACAAAGCTAAGAAAGAGTAAACAAGCGCTCATACCTCTTCAGTCAATACAGCCTTTATTAACACCAAGTGCCATTTGCTGTACCGAATACAGATTGGCCTATTGCGTTGCTATTTTGATGCCCTGAAGTTAAGGTTACTTCTGGACCTAAGAGTAACCCACAAATGCTGGCCCAAGCTAAATTGTATTTCTAGCTATTGCTAGAAATTCTAGCTAGCAATAGCTAGAAGTAAAGGCCATCTTTTGGCCTTTGATTATAGCTATGTGATACAAAGGGCAAACCCATGTTAGCTAGAGGTTGAGAGCCTTGTCATGGTAGCACTACCACTGAGTCCTAAATATCACCCAGCCCAGAGCACAATCCCTTTGCTTTCGGTACACCTATACTAAACCATGTGCCAGTATGCATTTGAACATTACTAAAGATAACCAGTTTACACTTAACCATTTCCAATATGCTGGAAAGCACAATGTACATTTTTTCTTAAGAGGAACAGTTGCTTTCAGATTTCCATAGCTACCAGAAAAACCGATTTGTACTAACCAGTCCTATAATAGCTTGTTCTACCACTCACTAGATAGAGCTGGCCCCATTACACTTTTCAGATGTTGTCTGCTTATTACAAAGGCTGACCTCAGAGGACCCACAGCTTTTAGTATGATTGACTGGAACATACGCTGGAGGAGAGTAGCTAGCTAAGTGCACTACAGGGTTCGTATCACAACCCTCACTCCTTATTTTACAACATTCCAATAATGTGGGAAGACTGGAAGGACTCAGAATATCTAGATTCTAAGTTTAGAGCGAGTTCATGAAGTATAGTAGGATACATCTCAACACATACAAGGGTAATCCTCAGGGACCATTAAAAAGGAAAATGTAAGGGAGCCTGGAGGCCAGAGAACTCATGCTTCAGACTGTTCAAAACGCAGACAATGCACAGGGACTCTTAAATCATCATTTACTAGGCTAGATGCTACAGTGCAAACAGCTATTCTTCCAAAACTTGTACCTGGTAATCTTCCAAAATTGCTTTTAAATAAAGTCCTTAAATTGTAGCAATAAAACACAGGATACAATTAAACAATACTGTAGTTTATCAAAAAACACATAAGAAATTTCAACTCTGAGTTACAAAAATGAAGGTTCGGCTAAGTTATAAACATGTTTTCCAGGTAATTATTTGCATAACTAGTAATGCTCAGTGGCTATAAGAACTGGTTCTTTAATAACATTGAAAACATAAAAATACTTAGCCCTGTATTACCTGTAGAATTCCCAGGATTTGCTATAATTTTTTTCCCTAGGCAGGGTTTCTCTGTAGCTTTATAGCCTGTCCTGGAACTTGCTCTATAGACCAGGCTGGCCTCAAACTCAGTGCTAGGATTAAAGGCGTGTGCCACCACCACCACCTGGCTATATTACATATAATTTTAAAGGTCACATCCAAAGGAGAAAACAAACCACCTACAAACTGGCATTATTATTTTATTTCTTGGCTTGTGAACGCCCTTAATTTGTTGATGTAGCAAACAAATTTCAACTCTGCTATATGCAAATGACAGAAGGAATCTGCTCAGCAATTAACTTTAGAGTTCAATTTCATACAGGCAACATGCTATGTGAAAAAAATTACTAGCTGAACTACAGGTATTAAATACTGAAAAATTAACAGTTTATTATAATTTATTTTATTTAACAATCTAGGAAGTTGGCAGCCATCAGCAGTTCCAGTGCAATCTCAGGCGCAATTGGGAACTCAGGAATCTCTGTGGAGCTGTTAGTGTAGCGGACCTTGTAGGTGAAATACATGCATACTTTGGAGAGCACGTGCGAAGGGATCTCTCTAAAATTGACCTCATTGGTTTCATTCTCAGCAAACTGCCCTGAAAAACAAAAGGGTATGTATGTTATGACCTGTATAGTGCCTCTTCTTGTTCAAGGAAATCTTGAACTACCTCAAAAAGATAGGGTCTTTCAGTCAAATTATGTTAAACAAGGTCTCTAGGACAGAAAGAATGGCATCCCCAGCAAGAGACATACACATAGAAACAACTCCAAGACAGAAAAGGGCGCATGAAGACAGTTATTCAAAGACAAGTAGAATAATCAATACTGCCTGTCTCTGCCTCCTGATTGCTGGGATCAAGGTGTGGGTACCAACCACCCATAGAATTATTTTAGATGTCTAACACTAGCATTGCATATATACAAAAGGCATTTCTCATCAAAAAAATGTTTTAGAGAATGAAACATTTATTTTACTTTATGGTAATTATTTGGTGTTTCAAGACAGATCTCTAACTAGGAAATCTGCCAGATATAAGTTTACTTAAGGAAAGAAATCCCCATCATGGTATTTTACAAAGTGGAGAACTGGTGTACTGTCAATAAAAATATATGAAATGATGGTCCCCCAGCAGAAACACCTTGGTGGCTCCTCCAAAACACAATAGTCACAGCCCCACAGTATTAGTGTTTCAAACAGACATGTATATATTGTGCTTGTGTTCATAGCAGCACCATGTATGATAGCTAAAAGGAAACAAAATGTTCAACTGTAAAGAGCAGATAAACACACTGTAGCATATTTCTAACAAGAGTACTAGATGGCTCCAATACCATGTACATGGAAAGAATGAAGACAGAGGGTCAAATACTGCATGGATTACAAACAAGAGGGAAAACAAAGTAGACTACACACAGATAAAGCTGAAATGTTGGGGAGTGGGGGGGGAGGGGTGGCAAGGAGAGAGGAGGATTTTAGGGAGGTGCTAAGTCGATGTGTGAGGGGGTGGTGCATTTATTTAGAGGCCAGTTGGCTTTGTATTCACTCTCCTTTCCCCCAATGCTTGCTAAGATAACAGGTACCTGGGTTTGTATGAATGACATGGACATTTATTTATATGAATGACTCAGGTCCATATCCCCTTTAAGGCAGCATCTCACTATGCTGCCCAGGCTGGTCTAGAGCTCCTAGACTAGAAACAATCCTCCCTAATCTCAATGTAGCTGGGACTAGAGGCATGTACCACTGCACCTGCTTCCTCCTCCTTCAAATGCTGTGTCCATTAAAGTACATAAGAGAAACACTGCATTACCTACCTGGTCCACTCAACATGGCTTTTATTGTTCCTGATGTTAAAGCATGTTCTCTTTTTACAATAAACTCATGGCCATCAGAGGATATTAACTTGACATACATGGCATCAGGCCCCTCACAGCCTCCATAGGTTTTCTCCTCTCCATCTGAAACAAAGCAGTGAAATACATTCTAACCAACAGGCTACCTGGGGTTACACTTTGCAGCGAAGCAAATTCGTAGCATGTGATGCCCTGAGTTTGACTGGCAAGCATGGAAAAGGGTGGGGGAAGAAAAATCACACCAGAGGTTGTGGAGTGGGTGTAGATACCACTCTACCACTGACTCAGTTGCCTGATCCTTGGAAACCAAGTCCTTTACACACTTAGCCACCTACCTCTCCAGCCGCTGACAATATAACTCTTAGGTTACATTGTTAGCCTGTTCTACAGAACTTGTTCTAGGAGAGCCAGAGCTACAGAGAAACCCGGTCTCAGAAAATAAAGCTAGCATTATTTTGACCAGCAGGATGGCTCATGCCTCTAATACTCAAAGGCTGGAAAGGCACGCTAGCTGCTCTTTCATAAGACTTGGGTTCAGGAGGACCCAAAACCACCTGTAAACCCAGTTCCAGGGAACCTGACTGCTACCCAGTGAAAACACCTATGCCACCTACTATGAAGTTCAATTTATGTTTCTAATATTTTTACATGCTGTAAAGCCTGACTTTGATTGTCTAGTTGACTAGACTGGGAAATGCCTAGTGAAACCCACCTGTTAGTATACTGTGTCTGTGAGAGTGCTAAGCTGCTATGCCCAGGTAGATCAAGGAAGGGTCTCTGCTCTGATGAACAGGTTAAGCTACTGGAAGGTGGTGGTGCAGTGTGGAAGGTAGACTTTAACAGGCAAGTGTAGGTAGCAAGAATGTACACTGGGCCAAGCAGTGGTGGTGCACGCCTTTAATCCCAGCACTGGGGAGGCAGAGGCAGGCTGATCTACAGAGCTAGTAGTTCCAGGACAGGCTCCGAAGCCAGAGACTCCCTGTCTTAGAAAAAGATGTGGGAGCCCTGTCTGTCCTCCAGTTTTGGCTGCACCTTCTGCAGAGTAACAGCTGAGCAGCTCTGCCCTAGCACATACTCTGTTATGAATCAAAACCTGAAACTGAGCAGGTATTTATCTGATCATAGGGTCAGGAAATAACAGAACTAAACTAAACATTCTGTATATGTAGTCTCCTTTATTTGAGAAGGGTTTCTGTGTGGTTCTGGTTGTCTTGGAATTCACTCTTTAGACCAGGCTGGCCTTGACCTCACCAAGATCCACCCGCCTCTTCCTCCTGAGTGCTGGGATTAAAGGTGTGTGCTACCACTGCCCAGAGTAAAAGTCTCATTATTAAGGTACTACAAATTTTAGGTGACACAATGCTGTTACTGTAAGCTGACCAGAACAAGTGCGAACTCACGGAGCCCAGTCTGATAGCTGGGGAACCAACATAGGTCCAAAGCAGGCCCCCTGAATGTGGGTGTCAGCTAGGAGGACAGTGTCTATGGGGTCTGTCAGTGGAACCAGGGTATCCCTAGTTCCTGAACAAGACTTCGGGACCCCATTTCCCATGGAGAGATATTCCTTTAGCCTAGGTCCTACCTCAAATGACAGATTTTGATGATCCCTCATGGAAGGCCTCACTCACCCGGGGGAGTGGATGGGGGACCAGAGGGAGTTATGGGAGGGAGCGGGAATTAGGATTGATATGTAAAATAAGATTGTTTCTAATTTAAATAAAATGTATACAAAATTAGCTGAGAGAAAAAATAAGCTCCCACTATTTGAAACACAAAATTACCACTGTATAACTTACCCATTATGTTCTTTCAAAATCCTACTTGATCCCACAGGAACTTTAGTAGTTTCCTAAAATGTAACAAAAGCAGGCAAAGATTAATGTTGCATTCGTATTTCCCACACATTATTATTTATTGTGTGTTCTTGGTGTTAATGATTTGGAGACTCCTTATGGAAGGCACCAAAATGCTGTGAACTTGACCAGCTAGCACCTCTACATTTCAGAAAGATCATTAATAACCACTAAGACTGTCTGTCAAGGATAGCAGTATAGCTCAGTGGTAGTGTGTGCATGAATCTACCTACCACTGGGGTCAGGCCGTGGTGGCCTAGCCTTTAATCCCAGCATTCAAGAAGCAGAGGCAGGGGGATCTGTTTGAGAACAGCCAGGACTATTATAGAGAAAACCATTGTCTCAAAAAAAACCAAACCGAAGCAAAGGGCAGCTGATCACAGTAGCAGGAGTACTGCTACTTAGACAGGCTGGTCTGTAGAGGGAAACGTTCAAGCCCAAAGTTTGTAGAGTCTGTGTGACAGAGCACTTGCATCTCAGTCATCAATATTGTGCGTCAAGTGCTGCTGCTGAGGCAGAAGGTGTACAGTGACAGGACAAGAATAAAGGAATAAGAAATGCTTCACACACATAAACTGCGGGCCCAGTCTAAGTTCTTTAATATTGTACCTGTTACACCTGACAGTGGCATTAAGCAGCTGACGTGAACCTCTAGCTACTTAACAGAATGAACTTTACACTGAATCAGGCACACTGACTTCAGTCGTAGCATTTCAATAATGCTTAGTAATGGACAGACTGACATTCATGTCAACGGAGTGGGGGAGGGGATACAGAAAACTGTACCCTGCAATATACACTCAGCAAATACTTGAAAGGTTATGTAATATATAGCCAATGGCAGGAAGAAGAATAAGACTTGTTCGCTAATTACACAAATATTTGTATATTTGTCTTACCCTTCCATGCCTTCTGCACATAGCACACTAAAGTTCTACATTTAACAACGAGAAGGTTAAATAATAAAAACCTGCACCATGCCAGGCATTGGTGGTGCATACTTTTGATCCCAGCAGTCAGAGGCAGAGGCAGGAGATCTGTGATTGAGACCAGCCTGGTCTACAGAGTCAGTTCCAGGACAGGCTCCAAAGCCAGAGAAACCATCTGGAAAAACCTGTGCCAGGCAATGGTGGCAAACTCCTTTGATCCCAGCACTCAGGAGGCAGAGGCAAGCGGGATCTGTTAGTTCAAAGCCAGCCCAGTATACAGGACAATTCCAGAACAGCCAGAGCTAAAAAGACCCTGTCTGGAAAAACAAGACACAAACCAAACAAAAAATCTTGGTGGTAGGGATCTGGAGATATGGTTCAACAGTAAGCAGGACCACTGGCTGCTCTTCCAGGAGTCAGGTTCAATTCCTAGCACCCACATGGCAGCCTTTTGGCCTGTACACCTAAAGGGTTCCACTTTCGTGTCCTCAGGTGTTTTGCCTGTATATATGCCCATGCACCACGTGCATGCCGTGTCCTGGGAATTGAACTCAAGTCTTCGGGAACAAAAGCTAGTGTTCTTAACAACCAAGCCATCTCTCTAGCTGCTAACTGGAAAAGTATCTACAAAGGTACTTTTTTTTCCCAGTAATTTCAATAATTGGTACCATTTCTAAATGAGATAAAGCAGAGTAAAAGATAATAAAAATAACTTAAGGGCTTACTGATGATCATGGCAGTAATTACCTTTCAGGTAGATCATTTTCTTTAAAAATAAACCTCCCACAAGAGTATCACTCCTCTAGAGATTAGGAAATATGTACTTCTATATTTTAAAGCCCAGTAGACTTTACAATTATTCCCTCCCTCTTGGTCACAGTCCCCCCCACCCCAACCCAATAAGGTTCCTCTGTGCAGCTGGACCAGGAAGGCCTTGAACGAAGACCTGCCAGCCTCTGCTTCCAAGTGCTGGAGTTAAATGCATGCCATGCCCATCTTTAACTTGGTCATTGATATAAGAGTAGTCCTTCAGGTGAATTTAGGTGAATTTCTACTTCTAGAATTTGATGCTATGAATTCTTAAATGCTATCAGTTCTAAAATTAAAACATACTCCATATCACTTTGTAATAAAAGGCAGTTGAAAATTTCAAGCCATCATTTTCTGTTTATATTCTTTCGTATGTAAACTTTAAAAAATCTGTTAGAAAGTCTTGAAGGACAAGAATTCTCTCGATATCTAATCTCCATAGAACACCTAGGTTGTTTTGTTTATTTAACCAGCAGTAGCTAAGCAACCATACAAAGCCTCATCTGGGAAAGCCTTTGGGAAACAATTTCTCTACTACAGATGTAATGGAGTTCTACCACCACCATCAACATTATTCAAAAAGCTCTTTGAAATAATCTTGTATTTTTTATTTGCCTGTGTTTTGCCTGCAAAATATGTGTGTGTATGTATATACATATATATGGAATGCATGCATGCCTGGTACCCTGACATATGGAACTCAGGTCCTTTGCAAGAGCAGCCAGCATTCTTAATCATTGAATTCTCTAGCTTCAAGCTCCTATCTTAAGTAGATCCTTAAAATGATGATTAAGTATAACTCATCAATCCAGGAACTCAAATTTGGAGAAAAAAACTCAGTCTTATAGTATATATATTAGTCAAAGCTGGGTGTGCTGGTATAACCTATAACCCCAGAACTCAGGATGTTGGGGCAGGAGAACCCTGAGTTTGAGGCCAATCAAACCAAACCATCACTACCAATAAAAACACCAGATACATTGCCAATAAAACTCTTTTGGTAAGTAGATGTAATTTGTGATTTAAGGAAAGCATCAGGCAAGAGAAAGACTCCATGTGACAGGGTTTAGGAAGAGGGGCTTTTATCAGGGAAGAGATCATAAAGAGGGAGAAGGTGAGGCAGGGGAAGCTGGGGGAGAGGAGGCACTGGGATTGGAATGTAAAGAATGGATGAATTAAAGAGAAAGGGAAGGGGGGTGGGTGGGAGACCAGCCTCCAGAGATAGAAGCAGGAGAGGGGAGGAGAGGGAGAAGGGTGGGCAGGAGAGGATGGGAGGTGGGCAGGGCCCCTTTAAAAGGGAACATGGTGAACCTGCACAGGTGATGCTCTCAGTGGCTGCAGCTGAGGGCGTATCCTGTCAGGACCCCAAGGACAGACCAGTACAGATCTTACCCAGAGGTAACTGTCCAAATCTTCAACAGAACATATGTTAAGTGTTTGTTCTGGGGGGATTGATGGAGGTATTTCACTAAATTGAAAGTTGAGTGATCCAAGTAATCAATTCTGGGAGCTATACAAGAGTAACAAGTATGCAAGAGTGTTGTTGAAAACCGCTTGTTAAGAAATTCACTCAAATCACAAATACTGTACTAAGGACATATCCTAGGTACTGGATCCTAACTAAGCTCATGGAAAATACGGTAGGGTCAGGGCCAGCTTTTTTGGGGGGTGTTGAGGAAAACCCTAGCTCTGGAGATGGAAGCAGCATTACCAAGAGTCACCAGGCCAGCTAGGACTACAGACAAGACTATCTCAACCACAGGGACCACCTCCACCAGAAGGCTGTGCAGGCATAAATATACCAGGAAACCAAACCAAAACAATGGTAGGGTGGTAGCTCTGTGGGGAAGAAACTATGGTAGGCAGGGACTGAGGACAAGGGAAAGGTTATATTCCTAGCTCTAACCCTAACACTTGACAGAGGCAGAGGAAGCGAGGCATGGATGTCTGGGCCAAGAACCCATAGCAATAACTCTTTAAAGGGGAAATAACAAGAGAATGATATAGCTGGAGAGGTGGCTCAACAGATACAGCACACTGCTTTTGCAGAGAATCTGAGTTTGTCTCAGAATCTGTATCTGTTGGCTCCAGGGGTGGGATATTCTGACCTCTGAAGGCCAAAGTACTTATCTAGGTCTAGGATGTCCCTAGGATTGATCACCAATAATGCCCCAACAAAACAAAACCAAGAACAAATCTTTGTCCTCATTGTACCTGCATCTACACAGCACATACCCTGTCTACTCTTATTAGAGCCATCTTTTCTGCTGTCCCTCCTTGTCACACTCCTCACCCTTTCTTCTGTGCCGGAATCCAAACCAGCACCTCACAAATGCTAGGCACTTAGGTAATCCTATCGCTGAGCAAGAGATTAAAGGCGTGTGACACCACCCTACGCTTATCTTGGCTGTCTTAAATCAGAGTTGTCAAACTCAACACACCTGTGTCTAGTTCAAGCTAATTGTATTGTAACTACTAAAAAAAGCTACCATTTGTAGCTGTAGTGGATATACCCTTAATCCTAGCACCTGGAGGCAGAGGCAGGTGGATCTGAGTTTGAGGCTAGACTAATCTACAAACTGCCAGTTTTGGAGGGGGAAAGCTTCCACACTTCCCACCATCTTGTCATGTAAGGCATGCATATTCATGTTTCTGCATAAGTACACAAGAGCTTTACAGTCTGTATTACACTCCCTGGCCACCCTCATCTCATTTTCTTACTTTCCTTCAGTATGTTCCAAACATTTGTCTCCTTGATATTTCCTGACTGGGTCTCACATTTTAAGCTCTTTGCATTTGCAGTATGAAGTTCTTTTCCTTTAAAGTCTCCCTTATGTTTCTAGCTCAAACATCAAATCCTGACCACTGTTCTTGCTGTCTTTTTTATTAAATTGAAGAGGTTAACCCTAGCCCATTGAAGGAGGGGAGCAGGCATGTAGGACCACTTTTTTTTTGGCTTCTCTAACAGGTCTGGCTGTACTAGAACAAGCTCTGTAGACCAGGTTGGTCTTGAACTCAGCTATCCACCTGTCTCTGCCTCACGAGTGCTGGTATTAAGGGCGTATGCCACCTCTACCCAAATGGGCCACACCCTTAATAAACACTTTGTAAGCAAAGTGATCTGAGACCAACCAGGCTTACATAAAGACTTCTGTGATGTCCCTCGTTGGTGGTGCACACTTTTAATCCCAGCGCTATGGAGGCAGAAGAGGATCTCCATGAGTTCAAGGCCAGCCTGGTCTACAGAGCTAGCTCCATGACAGGCTCCAAAGCAAGAGAAACCCTGTCTCCAAAAACCAAAACAAAGACCCATGACTTCTAAGTGACATCAGGTATTTACATTTACCAATTTGGATCAGAAAACGAAATTTAATTTGGGGATTAAAACGCAGATGCGGTAGTTTGAACCAAGTTGCAAAAAACTATTTCCATTGCTTTCTGGGCTGAAAAGTTCGGCGCAAGAATGCTTGCACCAAATGACACACAACCTTCAAGCCCCCAAAACTAGAGATCTCAGTTCCTTACTGGACAATTAATGGACACTGTTACTTGGCAGTAAACACTTCCCTTCCAGACAAAACGCAGACAGATGCACAAATGCCCCAACCCACCCAGTCAGGCAGGCAGAGATCACCCAAGTCGCTCGCCCAGAACGTAAACTTTTCCTCGGGGTCCTACAGCTGAAAAGGGGCTAGGTAGAGCTCTCTCCTACGATCGGCGACAGACTTCCACAGCCAAACAAATGTGATCGCACACGGGAGGGGGAGCGGCGGGCCGGGCTGCCTTGCATGCTCTTAACTCCACCCTCCCCGCGCTCGGCCGGGAGCAGGCCCCGCTCGCCCCCACCTCCTGCCCGGCCTCCGCTGTCCAAACCCCGAACCCGACTGGGCTACTCCGGGCCCCGCCAATCGTCTCCCGCCTCGCATAACCAGGAGCCGGGGAGAGATAGGGGACGGGGGGTGGGGTGGGGAGGCCGGGGAGCAGCTCGGCCAGAGCTTCCGTCCCCAGCCGGCCCCGACGAGATGCGCGGGGCCCGGGGCTGTGGCCGAGGCGCCCGGCCGCGGCTGCCCCAGCTCCCCGGCGGGATGGAGCCCGCTCCCCGGCCCCGCCCCGCCCCGCCCGGCCCGGCCCGGCACTCACCAGCCAGCCCCGCAGCCGCCGCAGCCGCGTCCCCACGCACCGCCACAGCCCCTACTCAGGGCCGCCCCCCACCCCCAGCTGCCTACCCCTTGGGCTTCCGGGGCACGGGACGGGGTCACTTCCGCCGCATCACAGCCGCCGTCTGCGGAGCGCGGGAGTCGGGTCGAGGCGCAGGCGCAGACGAGTCCCGGCGGGAGCCTGCGTGCCAGGCGGAGTGCGGCGTGTGCTGGCTCTCCCGGAGCGCAGGCCGATTTAAGAGAGAGCGTTAGCACCGCCCAGCCAATGAGCTACTAGGGCTTCCGCCGCGCTTCCCACTGTGCAGCAGCGCCGCTTTCCTGATCCCATTTCTGCCCAGGAGGGGACGGGAACGCCCGGCGAGGGCAGCGATGCATTCTGGGAGATGTAGTTTCTTGCCAAGTTACGGTTTTTGTTTTTTTTGTTTTTATTGGTTTTTTTTTTGTTTGTTTGTTTGACCCGACGTGATGTTGCATCTTGGGACTTGTGGTTTTCCGTGTAGAATGTTGAAAAGTTGGTGGCTTGAAAGCTCAGTCCCCTTCTCTCGTTTCTGTTTAGCTGGGAGGTGGGAGATTACAAAGGAAGCCTCAGATGTGGAAATGCTGCATGTGTGCTAAAGAAGATCGTAATCTTGAGTAAGCGGGCATCTGGCCTTTGTGATAGATAAGTAAGACGCGTCGACGACGAGCATCTCAACAAGCTCGCGCAATGCGTTTGCCCCACTTCCTCTCTTCCCGGTATGGGTCAGTGTTTACTGAAAATATGCCACGCCCACCTGCCCTGCTCTCCTACATTAAAATACCTGCCACCATCACACCTGGGGGAGTGCATCATTCTCGCTCTTCACCCCCATAAGTCCTCCTCGTTCCAGCACCCCCCCAACCAAGGCATTCCATTGGCTTTCCTCTGGTTACCCAGGGACCTTTCCTGGAAAGCTGGGAAAACAGCTCTTACCTGTTTCATGACATGTGCATTCATGAAAATGTAGATTTGAGATGCTTACAGTTAGTCAATAGTCACAGGTGTGTGATAGTGTCCACAGAAAAGAGATGTGTGTGCGCCATTTGGAGTTTCTGGAACTGATGACGTTTTCCAGAGGGCTTTGTTCTTGACTTTTTGAGCCATAGTAACCCTGGCCAGTTTGGGACTATGTGACCCAGACTAGACTCGTATTTGGGGTAACCCTACCTCCTTCCTCTACCACCATGTGCAGTATTTCCCTTTGTAATCCTGGCTTCCTTCCTACTCAAATTTATAATTCTGCTGGAATTACTGGTCTTAGCTATTGTGCATGGCTCTGGAAGAGTTGCTTTTTGTTTTTGTATGTTTGTTTTTGTTTGGTTTGGTTTCTTCAATACAGACAGAGTATCTCTGTTTAATAGTCCTGGCTGTCCTGGAACTTGTTTTGTAGACCAGGCTGGCCTTGAACTCACTGGGATTCGACTGCCTCAGCCTCCCACATGCTGGGATTAAAGCCATGTACCACCACTGGGCGGCTCATGCATTTATTTTTAATTGATTTGCAGATAGGCATACTCTTAGAGAATTGAAGGCAAAAACGGAGCACGTGGCCCTGAAGGAATTTTCAAAGGCTTTGGGAAAATAATAAAATGTTATGGTTGTGTGTCAGGGCCCATAAAGATGGTGGCCCTGTGTCATCTTTGCTCATGGTCAGAGAGTTCAAAACTGTGCTTTAGGAAGTCATAAGACCTAAAGATCTAAGGTGTGGCTGCAGTAGGATGTTTGATCTTGGCCTTGGGTGTCTTCTAAATAACAACAGATTTGGTATGTGGTGTGGTTACTCTTTACACTCAAGGCTAGATAATGACAAATTGAATCTGAGGTGTAGTTAATGAATCCTTGGCTAGTTGAGGAAGAAAGTTGTTCCGTAGACATGATACCATGTTCCTTTTTTCTTTTTCTTTTTGTCTTTTTTTTTCGAGACGGGGTTTCTTGTGGTTTTGGAGCCTGTCCTGGAACTAGCTTTTGTAGACCAGGCTAGTCTCAAACTCTCATAGATCTGCCTGCCTCTGCCTCCCGAGTGCTGGGATTAAAGGTGGGCACCACCACCACCTAGCCCATGTTCCTCTTTTTGATTAAGGTATTTAAGATGGTGAAGAATAAACTTGGGGCGTTCAGTATTCATTGATTTGCCCCCATGATTCTATCCAGTGTCTCTGTCTTTTCTCTTTAGCTAGCCTTTCTCAATTCACACTCCCCATCTCAGTTATGAACCTTGGGCAAGTCGGTTGGCACTGACTGCAGCCCCGAAATGACAACCCCCTACAGATATATCCACAGCTCAAAGTGGATTCGTGGAAAGAGAGGCATTGGGGAGCAGAAGATAAAGCTAAGGGGGAATAAGTGAATCAACCTAGTGAGACCTGAATTCCTGTCAGTTTAGGCAATAAATGTGGGTCCCAACATCAATTATGTATCCTGATTCTGTGAGGAACCTTGTGACTCCATTTTGAAATCAGCAGTCATTGTGCTTTAGTTTTAAAAATAAGTTTCTGTTTACTCTTAGAATTTAGTAGCTCTGTTTCTGGGAACCTGACCCTGACCTTCCCCAAACCATGACCTTGAATTATTTTTGATGATGCCCTGATCCACCCAGACCCTCCCTGATTCTCCCTAATTTCCTAATCACATGGTGGGTGAGCACAAGACTTTCTCTCTTTCTTTCCTTCTTTCTTCCTTGTTTTGTATTTCTTTATTGCTCATTGTCACCCTTTTGTAAAACTACTCCTGATTTTACTCCTCAAAAGAGGCCCAAGAAGTGGATTCAGAGCTGCTCTCTTTAACCTGACTTAAAATGCAGTCACAGGCAAGGTCTTGGGTGTACGCCAGTAAAAATCAAGCTTGCTTCAAGTTTGGCTCAAGTTGTGGTAATAGTCTTATTGGGATGAATATTTTTGAAAGCCCCCAGTCAGATTCGGACCACCCCTACCCCTAATTCTAAAGCTGAACCTTCCCTCCAGGAGACACACGCCTTGAGACTTTTGAGGGCTCCATGCTTCCTTCAGTTCTCAGACTATCCTGCTGAGAAAGTCATTAAGCATCTAGAGAAGCCTCTGAGCGAGTTAAAGGCTGGCTCTGTTTTGTAGGAGAGAAACCGTCTCAAAAACCCCAAAACAAACAAACCTGTAACTTTGCTACTGTTATGAATTGTAATGTAAACATCTGATATGTGGGATATCCGATATGCAACCCCCAAAGGTGTCTCAACCCATACGTTGAGAACGCTGCTGATCTAGATGATCATTTTTCCAGATGCAGCTTACTGTGAAGTTGATGTGAAAACATCGGGTGGACAAATGTACCAAGTTCACTTTTGGAAATGTATGTGGCATTTTGTAAAACAGTATATCTCCTATATATGTTTTACAATATATTTTTATTTTATGTCCATTGGAGTTTTGCCATGGGTGTCAGGTCCCATGGAACTGGAGTTACAGACAGTTGTGAGATGCCCTGTGGGTGCTGGGAACCCTGTGGAAAAGCAGTCAGTGCTCTTAAACACTCAGTATCTCCATTATATTACTACAGCAGTATTTCTAGCTTGTATTTAGGCATTTGTCCCATTACACATTAGCACAACAGATCCGCCCACCATGCCTCCTGCCTGCTGGGATTAAAGGCATGCGCTACCAAATGCCAGCTTCCCCAAACCACTTTTTAGGATCTAGAAAACGATGCCCACAGGAGTGGAGTATTTAACTAGTCTTCTGTGCTTTGCCTTCTCCGCCCCCCCCCCCCCCCCCCGCCATGCCTCGCCACTCTGTCCTTTCACATTTTCATAAAACTGAGCAAACAAAACGGTAAGAACTTGGAACCGACGCCGGGCAGGAAGGGAGTTGGATTTCTCGGACCCGTAGCTGCCCGGAACCCATTCGGTTGGGGAAGGTTGCAGGCCGGCCGCACGTCGTTGCGCACGCGCGGGCACCAATCCGGCGGCGTGCTCCGCGCCGGGGGGCGTGGCGTCGCCGCACGCGAGGCCGGGGTCGCCGGGCGGAGTCGCGTCCTGGCGTCCTTGGCGGCGGCCGCAGGGCGCGGGCCGCTGCTCCACCGACCCCGCGGCATGCTGCTGCTGCTGCTGGCCCTGGGCGGCCGCCGCGCAGCGGGGCTGCGGCCCGGCGGGACGGGGACGAGGGCCACGCGGTGCGCGGTCGCCTCCTGGCGTGCGGCCTCCCGCGCCGAGCTCCCGCCACTGCCGGACGGCCGGCTTCTGCCGCGAGCCGAGCCCCGGCCGCCACCGCGGCCAGCGCAGGTCGGTCGGCCGTCTGTGGGCTGGGGAGCGGGGAGCGGGCGCAGCGTGCGAGCTGGGGGTCCCGGGAGGAGCAGGGAGGAGCAGCCTGCAAAGGGAGGAGGGGATTGCTCTCCCAGGCTGCTCAGGCACGTGCAGGGCAGGGGTGTGTGTGGGGGGGGGCTGCTCAGGCACGTGCAGGTGTGTGTGTGCGTGTGTGTGTGTGTGTGTGTGCGTGCACAAGGTGTCTCTTCGTAGCCTCCCGTGGCCTGCAAAGAGAGGACGGGATTGTTCTCTCCCGGGCTGCTCAGGCACGTGCAGGGCAGGGGTGTGTGTGTGGACGGGATTGCTCTCCCAGGCTGCTCAGGCACGTGCAGGGGTGTGTGTGTGTGTGTGTGTGTGTGTATACACAAGGTGTCTCTTCGTAGCTTCCCGTGGCCTGAGTAGACCAGGTTGACCCCTGGAACTCACAAAGACCGTCTTCCCTCTGATTGCCTAGTGCCACCACATTGGGACTACTTAGTTTCTCTCATACCCAAAAGCTGAAGGTCAGAAAGGTTGATTTCCTAAGAAATTGATGACAGACTCGAAAAAAAACTCATATAGCCTTATTGTGAGTTCTGTGTTGTTAAATCTCTGCTTTTAGGGATTTTGTTGTTTACAGAGAGGTCGGGTAATGAATGTTAATGTGAACAAACCACATAGGTCTATGAGCTCTGCCTGAGGCGGGTGGTGCACGGCAGAGGCAGGAGGATCTCTGTGAGTCCGAGTCCAATCTTAATTTATAGAGGGCGTTCCAGGGCAGCCAGTGCTGTTACACTGAAGCTACATGAAATTTCACGGTATCAGAAGTTTCCCAAATATGTGAAAATGAATATCTAAAAACTAACTGCTCTTAGTTAAAAATGTAAAAAGTATGCCTAATTTGTGTTGAAATTCAGCTAAGAGCCAGGTGGCAAGCCTGTAATCCCAGCATTCTGGAGGCAGAGACAGGTGGATTAGTTGGAGGCCAGCCTGGTCTACTGAATTGCAGGACAGCCTGGAAAGCTACAAAGAAACCCTGTCTTGAAAAACCAAAAAGAAAGAAGGAAATTTGGCTAAGAATCCAACATCTGCCTGGGATGGTGACACATATCCTTAAGATCCCAGCACTCAGGGTCTCTTGAGTCTGAAGTCAGTGCCAGGCTGGTCTACGTGTGTTTCAAAACAGCCAAGGCTGCTCCTGAAAGACCTGCAGAACGTGGACCTTCACGCTCCCACTCAGGAAAGGAGACACCTCAAATCACTCACGAGAAGTGGTCTAGATGCAAATAGCATGAGGGATTTTTATTCCAAGTGCACTGGGGTCCACAGTCATAAGCCACACAGAGGTAGAGGACTGAGGACCTCAAGGGCAGAATTGAGACAGCTTTTATAGGATTTACATTAAAGCTAACAAGGCCAGTTCCAAAGCTAGCCTGTTATTTTCATTAGGCTTAAAAGCAAGGTTGTGGGGCAGTTCAAAACTTGGATGGTTAATACGGTTTCCAAAGTTAGAGATTTCATAGAGTACAGTTTATAAGGTAGCCACCTGCAAGATTAGGGGTTTTCTTTCTGTAGGACCAGCGGGCTCAGTGGCCTTGTCTTTAAGATAATGGGGGCAGGGAGAATGTACTCTCCAGTCAGGGAGTTATCCATATCTATTGGCAGAAACACTTGTTCTTTGTAGTTTTCCCTTCTTGCAATGAGTCCTATATTTTTTAGCTATTAATTTTCTTCACGGACAGGATGACCCATAACAATAAGCAGACTGTTGTTGAGAATAACAACATTCCTCAGAAACTAGATGGTTATGAATAATAATAATTTCCAGAAACCGGTCATCGTGACCAAGCTATTTCAAGTGTTCTTTTTCCTGAGCTTTGCAAGCAGCTAGGGTGATTTTTAAATGCATGCTGGTGGATATTTTTAAATTTCTAACTTTTAGTGGTCATTAGAGAGTTAGGCTGTATTTTCATCCTTTCACTCCAAAGCCAAATAATTCCATTTCCACTTTAGGCATTTCTTCAAAGTTTATTATTATGTCTTGGGGAGGATTTTTTGTTGTTGATGTTGCTGCTGCTGTTCTAAGACAGAGTTTCTCTGTGTAACAGCTCTGTTCTGGAACTATCTTTGTAGATCAGGCCTGTTGGGAACTAGCAGTCTGCTGACCCCGCCCCCAACTATGGGCGGACGCTCATGGCGGTGTCATCGCTATGTCAGCCTTACCTGGTTGCCAAGGACTCAGTTACTCATGCACAAGAGCCCCTTTTAAAGCAAGCACGCCTCTCTGGCCCCCCTCTCTTGCTCTCTCTCGCTCTTCTCTCTCTCCCTCTCTCCCCTGCTTTCGGTTGGACACCAGCTACCCCCCTTTCTCTTCCTTCCCTCAATAAACTCCACGTGGGCACTGAGTCACGTGTTTGTGTTTTACAGGCATTAGCTGCAGCTAAAGAACAAGGCCGGCCTGGAACTCACAGAGATCCTCCTGCCTCTGCCTCCCCAGTGCTGGGATTAAAGGTGTAGGACACTACCTTCCTTTGAAAGTCTGTTTTTTTTTTTTTTTTTTTTAAATATTAGTTATAATGCAAGCAGTTCATAAATGCAGACTTTAAAGCCATTGGATTGTCAGGATGGCCTAGCCTGTGACTATAGTTTGATCTCTGGACATGGATGTGCTCACACATGTACACACTCACCAAAAACCTAAACAACCTCAATTTACAGTTTTGCTAAGGTTACTGCACTAAACTTAATTTTAGAAATTATTTGTGCATATGTAGTATGTGTTTAAGTACAGGTGAAGGTCAACATTAAGTGTTTTTTTTTTTTTTGTTTTGTTTTGTTTTTTCTTTTTGGAGGGGGTGGTCCTTTTCAAGATAGGGTTTCTCTGTGTAGCTTTGGAGCCTGTCCTGGAACTCTGTAGACCAGGCTGGCCTTGAACTCAGAGAGATCCACCTGCCTCTACCTCCCCAGTGCTGGGATTAAAGGTGTGTGCCACTACCTGCAGGCTAATTCTGAAGTTTTTTTATATCACACTGTAACAAGTTCTCTTCATTATAAATAAATAAAAATAAAGCTTTGATAAAAACTAAAAATTGTTCAAAAAGCCAGTTTGTCAGTGGTTTCTTGTTTCAATAGATACCTGTTTGTTGGAAGCAATGTGTCCGCTGCTTACATACAGAATACAATAAACCAGAAGATGGAAGGCTGATCTATACTGGGAACCTGGCCCGCACAGTATTTGGTGGGTAATCTGAAGTGACATCGTTTCCTTATTTTTCTTTCTTTACTTTTGAGATCATAATTGCATTTCTATTTTCCCTTTTCTGCCTTCAACCTCCCCCTCCCTTTTTCCTTACTCTCCTTCAAGTTCATGGCCTCTATTCTTTTTTAAATGTTACTGCATATATATATATGTTCCTAACTATGACCTGTTGAGTCTGTACAATGTTTCTAGTTTGTGTTTTCAGGGCTGATGGCTTGGCACTGGAAAACCAATTGGTGTGGTCTTCCCTAGGGAGGGATCACCTCTGCCACGCCCAGCTTTACTCGATTGCCTGAGTTCTATGTGTGTGGGCTTGAGTCTCCCGGGCTTGCCCCTATCCAGTCAACTTTTTAGCATATGTTACCTATGTTCTTAGCATCACTCAGTTGTGGTTTTTTTGTTTGTTTTTGTTGTTGTTAGTTTTTTGAGGCAGGGTTTCTCTGTATAGCCCTGGCTGTCCTGGAACTAGCTCTGTAGATCAGCCTGGTCTCGAATTCACAGAGATCTGCCTGCCTCTGCCTCCCTAGTGCTGGGATCGAAGGTATGCACTACCAAAGCCTTGCTAAGCATCACTCAGTTATAACACATAAGGAAAATTGTTTTTTTTTTTTTTTCCTTGAATCCCATTGATACAGCATAGAGGTTGAGACTTTCCCTTTTACTAGTTTTAAAGACGTTTGAAGGCTAAATTGTGGTTTATGATCTTAGAGTTGGGCATTGACGCTTCCCTTCTTATGTTACTTGTTTTAGAGTATCCAACAGAAAAATATATTTGGATAGTGTAAAAAAAGTGAGAGAATGTTGTTATGGTTTGATTTACATGTCCTCCAAAAGCTCATGTATTTATTTAATGTAGTCTAACTTCCCCAGCTGGTGGCGCTGTTCTGAGAGTTGTGGAGACCTTAGGAGAATGGGCCTCCTCTAGAAGTAGGTTACTAGTAGTTCACTGGGCATGAGTTCTTGGAGGGAGGAGTATCTTGTTCTTGGCTTTTTGTCTCTGTTTCCCCCCCCCCAGCCCCCACCCCACTCCCCCACCCCCGTTTCCAGTTTGAAAGTTTTCCACTATATAATAATACCCGTGTTGGCATGATGTTTATCAAGTGCATAGCACTAAGCAACTGTGGGCTGAAATCTCAGAAATCATGAGTCAAAGTTACCTTTTTCTTTTTAGTAAATTATTTTTATTGTGTGCCGTGGTGTTTTGCCTGCATATATGTCTATGTGAGGGTATCAGGGCCTCCTAAGAGGACTTACAGACAGTTGTGGGCTGCCATGTGGGTGCTGAGAATTGAACCCTGGTCCTCTGGAAGAGCAGACAGTGCTCCTAAACACTCAGCCATCTCTCCAGCCTCCCCTTTTCCTTCTTAAATTGCTCTTCTCCGGTATTTGGTCACAATACAAAAGCTGTGACTAAAAGCCTGGTAGCATCCTTTTCTTGTTTCTTTTTCAGACAGGATCTCTGTAGTTCTGACTCTCCTGGATGTCTGGTCTTGCTTGAAGCTGGGTGTGGTAGCTTACACCTTTAATCCCACCCTTGGAGACAGAGGCAGGTGGTTCTCTGTGAGTTCTAGGCCAGCCTGGTCTACAGTGTGAGTTCCAGGACAGCCAGATGTAGTCAGATTTCAGTATGTTGACCCTGGTTGTTTCTGGAACTTTAAAGAAGTACTTTAATGACCTTTTGAATGTGTCTATGGAAGTGTGTCACATGAGAGCACATGTCCCCAGGGGCTGCAGTCTCAGGCAGTTGTGAGCCTCTGGATGTGGTTGCTGAGAACTGAACTCTGGAAGAGCAGTATTGGCTTTTACCTTCCCCACCCCATGTGTGTTTGTATGTAGTATCTCATGTTGTCCAGGCTAGCCTCAGACATGCTGTGCAACTGAAGCTGGTTTTTACTCCATCTCCTTCCATCTTCTGGGGTCCCATTCCATCATGTCCAGCTCTGTTTCTGTTTTATTTTTTTGAGACAGAGTCTTGATGTGTAGCTGCTGCTGAACTTGAACTCTCAATTCTCTGCCTCAGCCTCATTCACAAAGGGTCAGATTACTACTGCTTAGTAACTAGCTGTATGGCCTTGTATGTTGCTCCATCCGCTCCTCACATGTGGGCTATCTATGGCAGAGGTTGATTCAGGTGTTTTCTCTTATTGCTCTTTTCATTCTGTTGTTACTATACGATACTCTATTTATTTCAACTTCAGGTTGTACTCCATCCATCACTGAGGGAAGTTAGGACAGGAACTCAAGCAAAACTGAGCAGAAACCTTGGAGGGATGCTGCGTGCTCTTCACTCAGACACCTAGCACCACCTGCCCTGAGAATGGTGTCACCAAGTGGGCTGGGCACTCCTGTATCCATTAGTAATCAAGACAGTGCTCTCTAGACACGCCCACAGGCCAATCTGATCTGGGTGGTCTCAGCTGAGACTTCCTCCTCAGGTGACTAGGCTATGCCAAGTGGATGGTTAAAGCTGACTTCAGCAAATCTCTACCTTGGTTTTTGAGACAGGGTTTCCTCTGTGTAGCTCTGGCTGTTCTGGAACTCAGTCTGTTCTGAACTTGACCATAAGGGATCCTCCTCCTTTTGCCTCCTGAGTGCCAAGATTAAAGGCAGCATGTGCTCCAGATTGGAGGTCATCATTTTGGTTAGACTGGCTGGCTAGCAAGCCATGGAACTCTGCCTGTCTTAGCTTCCCCTGCTATGGAGTTACTGGTGTGTGCTGCCTCCTCAGCTCTTATGTGGGTGCTAGAGATCTGAGCTCAGGTTCTCACGCTTCTACAGCAAGCACTTTACCTACTGAATGACTGCCCCAGCCGTAGCTTACCCTGTCTCGGGCTTGGCATAAATTTAACGGTTTGATCTTCCAGCCCTTGCCTCCTTAGTGTTGGGATTGTAGACATGAGCCACACAGCCTCATTGTTTATTTTAAGATTCCGGCAGTTCCGGCAACCTATGGCAGCCAGCACGTTATGCAGTAGAGGTAATCCATGAACCTATTCACTTTCCCTGTCTTTCTGGCTTTTTCAGAAGCTGTCTTACCCTGTAGTCCATGATGGCCTCAAAATTGTGATCCTCCTGCCTTGCCAAGTCTCATTTTTTGATGGAGCAATGACAACAATTATACACCTCTCCTGGGGCTTTTCTGTATATTTTATGAATAGAATAAGTAAATTGCTTAAGACAGAAGGCAGAGCCTGGCACATAAGAAGTACTCGATTGTGTTTGTTTTTGTTGTTGATGGTGGGTTTATGACTATTGTATTAGCTTTGTCATCACTGTGACCAAGAATTCAAGAAAACTTCTTCAAGGAGGAAAGATAGATTTTGGCTCATAGTTTTAGAAGGTTTTGTTGTGGTTGCTTGGCCCCATATTCTTGAACAGAACATCAGGGCGGTAGGAGTATATGGCAGAAGACCTTCCTCACTTCATGACCTAGGAGAAAGAGACAAGGGGCCAGGACGAGACAGTCAAGGCCTACCTCCTAAAGTTCCAAAATTTCCAAAAATTGTACTATCATAGAGACCCAGGTGCTCAGCCTTGAAACTAGGGGGTCTTTTTGCATTCAAATGTAACAATGGCATAGGAAGAAAAGTTTGGATGAATTAACAGGATATATTGCTTGTTTTATAAACCTTAGTTATTCTTTTTTTTTCTTTCTCTCCTTAGGTGTGAAATGTTTCTCTTATTCGACAAGTGTGATGAGCCTTACGTTTTTACCGTATCTTCTCTCACAGACTAATGTGACATTTGGAAGTCTGCCTTTGCAGATCTTATTTTATGGGATCATGGGAAGCTTCACCATGATCACTCCCGTTCTGCTCCACTTCCTTACAAAAGGCTATGTCATTCGGTTGTACCATGAAGCCTCAACCGACACTTACAAAGCCATTACTTACAACGTTGTGCTTTCCGAAACCAGCACAGTGTTTCATCAAAATGACGTGAAGATTCCAGAGAGCTCACATATATTCACCACCTTTTATGCTAAAACGAAGTCAATGCTGGTCAACCCAGCGCTCTTTGCAAACCCCGAGGACTATAACCATCTAATGGGTTATGACAAACCATTCACTTTTGATAAAGAAGAAGTCAGTGAGAAGCTGCATGAGGATGAAAAATGAATCTCTTCTTTGTTTTTGCTTAAATGTCATGTATGTTTCAGTGTGTAATAAGATGGCCTATGTTTTCTTATTGTTAGTGAATGTTGGTGTAGTATTTGCCTTACATGAGGCCCTGGGTTTGACCCTCATCACATAAGTAGGTGTGCTGGTGTGCACCTATAATCCCAGCACTTGGAAAATGGAGGTAGGAAGATCAAAAATTTGGAGTCATCCTTGGTGGTGTAGTAGGTTTGAGGTCAGCCTGAACTGTGTAAGACCCTGTCTTAAAAACAGAAAGTTTTCTCTTTGCATTGGTGATGCAAACCTTTAGTTCCAGCACCGGGAGGCAGAGGTAGGCGAATGTCTGTGAGTTTGAGGCCAGCATGGTCTCAGTTTTAGGACAGCCAGAGTTATTAACACAGGGAAACCCCTCTCTCAAAAAACAAAACAGCAACAACAAAAAGCCCCAAAAGTTGAAACTATCAAACAGAATGTCTAATTAATTTTCAGATATTGATGTTCCTGTGTAATAAAATGTTTAAAAACAAGTTGTTACTGGGAGTTGGTGGTGTACGCCTTTGATTCCAGTACTTGGGAGACAGGCAGGTGGATCTCTGTGAGTTCGAGGCCAACCTGGTCTACAGAGCTAGATCTAGAATAGGCTCCAGAGCAATATAAAGAAATCCTGTCTCAAACAAAAAATGCCCAATAAACAAATTGTTTCTGTTAAAAATGTGGATAGTCCTGTGTATTCTGCTATATGTATGGCTATATTATTTTTGGTTTTAGACCAAAGTCTGACTATAAGATTGGATGCCTGGAGCTTACTATATAGACCAGCTTGGCCTTGAAGTCAGAGAGATCTATGTGCCTTTTTCTCCTGAGTGCTAAGATTAAATGTGTGTGCCACCACACCTGGGCCATGTGTAGGTAATATAATAGTGGGTACCTAGAAATTGAAGATTGCGTGTCACAAGTAAATAAGAGTTGAGATTTTCTGTTCTGTTTTCCTAAATGCATGAATATACTTTTCCTACTTAACACTTTGTAAAATTATAAATTTTAAGCAGCAATTATAAGAGTGTATGTACAGCCACGTTTGGTTAGCTTTTCTATGTCCCCATTTGTCCCTCAACACCCACATGATGTCAGGCACATCAATGGTAGTAAATGCATGCAAGCCACCTCCCATAAAATAGCCATCCATGTTAGCCTTATGGAGAATTTGCATTTTCAGATTTTTATACATCTGAAGTCTTAGCATTTAATTGGTAATCGGCAAGCTGCATGGTGGTGGCAGCACACGCCTTTAATCCCAGCACTCGGCAGAGGCACTCAGATCTCTGAGTTTGAAGCCAGCCTGGTCTACAAGAACTAGTTCCAGGACAGCTTTAGAGCCACAGAGAAAACCTGTCTAGAACAAGTACTGTCTGTGTTGGCAGTCGTCACAGAAAGTTAACTGTGATGGGATTCTCAGCCGGCCTCACCCGAACTCTAGAAAAAGCAGCTCTTGTTTCTTCATTTCCAAAAACTCATCTTCTCGCCCCTGACTATTGAATAAATGTTCCTCTCAGCATTTCACTGTTTAATTGGTGATGTAGAGGTCAAACGAAGGTCAAGGAAGGCCGAGGCTTTGACCCTAAAAATTCTAGTAACATTACTTCTACCTAGAAAAGAACACTAGTTAACACGTTTGGTTTTTTTTTTTTTTTTTTTTTCTTAATTTAAATTTTGTTTTATGTGTATGAGTATTTTGCCTGCAGGCGCCAGAAAGAGGAGTTGGATCTCGTTGACCTGGAGTTACAGAATTTTATGAGGTGTGGTTTGGGTGCTGAGAACCAAACCCTGGTCCCCTGCAAGAGCAGAGAGTTAACCACTGGGCCACTTTCTCAGTCCCAACATTCACAGCCTTAACATCCTCCTGCCTCAGCCTCCTCATGGCAAGGGTCACAAGCAAGCACCAGCAGGCCCACTTAATGTTCCTTGTTTTTGTTTGTTTTTCTCCTAAGCAAGGGGAATGTAGATTTACTAAAGAAAAGTGGGAAAAGAGCTCCCAAGAGCAGAAGGGTTTTAGAGGAGGAGACCCAGTTTTTACAATTTATACAAATGTTTAACAAAATACAAAAACATCCAGAAGATGCAAAACTAGGAAACAAATTCATTAGAGATGGAGAGTATGTGAAAAATTCATTAGAGATGCAATATGTGTCACTGCGCTGGTTGCACATATTTTTAAATGTCCTGCATACATGTGATCACTTTGGTTGTGAAAAGTCTATTAATTTGTAACAGAATAATTCAAGTGACATTTTGTTTGGGGGCAGGGAAGCCCTGAGTGGATAAGCCCTCTAAAGGACATGGTATGGAGTGAAACAAGGACTTAGAAGGGATCAGCATTTATTTTAGCAGAATTTAACCACATCACTTTGTTGGTTGCATTTGCCAAATAGTTCCAATGTTCCTTGGTAGTTGGCCATGTTCAGGCACCTTTTTAAAAAAACCATCTTTAATGACTAATGTTAACTCAGATCACATATTACATATGTAATAAACACATCTACCCATTTGAATATATGCAGTTTATAGGATGTCTACAAAAGTGTTAAGGAGGCTAGCAAGGTTCCAAGTGGCCATACTGTTATAGCTGAAAGACAGAAGATACTAAGCTCATCTGGAGAGCTGCTGGAGGTAGAGTTCCAGCACAGTAAAGTCCAGCCAAGGTGCAGAACTTGAGGGTAGGGTCACAGAGATAAGTGGCACATAAACGGATGGATGGAAATCTGGGCCAGGTCAAGTAGGGGACTGGGTGCTCTGAGGTAAGCACTGGGGACAGTTGAGTTCTCTTACTGTAGGTCCCTTGAGGCCCATACCAGGGTCCAGATAGACAGGTTGGTGTGGGTGTTGCCAATGAGGTGTTAGGCGTCCTCATAGTGTCCAGGTCAAGGAACTGCTGTGGCAGAATATTACTTTAAGGCGTGTGACTTTTGTTTAAGGTTCATTTCTTTAACTGTGTTTTTTGCCTGTCTAAAACACCTGATGGACTAATAAAGAGATAAACAGCCAATAGGGAGGCAGGAGCAAGAATAGGCGGGGCTGGCAGGCGGAGAAATAAATAGGAGGAGGACATCAGGGGCCGCCACCCGGCCACCCAGTCATCCCGCCACCCTGCCCAGAGCAGAAGGTAGTCAGGTTCATTTCAGAAAAGCTGGTTAGAAACTAGCCAAACTAAGGCCGGCATTCATGAATAAGAATAAGCCTCTGTGTGATTTATTTGGGAGCTGGGTGATGGACCCCCCAAAAAGCCAAAAGAGCAAAAACCAAAACACAACACACTGCAGCTTTTGTCAGCCTTATATGTTCTCTGGCTTATTTGTTTTTAAACATTTTTAAATTTATGTTTTTACATCCCAATCCCAGTTCCCCCTCCCTCCTCTCCTGCTCTCCCCACTTCTCCCCCTCCCCCACCTACTATCTGCTCCTCGGAGAGGGTAAGTCCTCCAGTAGGAAGTCTACTAAGTGTGTCCCATCATCTCATTGAGGCAGGACCAAGGCACCTCCCCACCCCCACACCCCGTGTCTAGGCTGAGCAAGGTGTCTCTCCATATAGGATGGGCTCCACTAAGTCAGTTTGTGCATTAGTGTTAGATCTTGGACACTGCCAGTGGCCTCATATTGTCCCAGCTTCACCATTGTCATCTATATCAAGGGAGTCTAGTTCGGTTTTATGGAGGTTTCCAAGTTGTCAGACCTGAGTCAGCCATCTCTCACTAGCTCGGGTCAGCTGATTCTGTGGTTTCTCCATCATGGTCTTGACTCCTTTGTTCATATGTTTGCTCCTCCCTCACTTCGATTGTACTCCAGGAGCTTGGCCCGTTGGTTAGTTGTGGATTTCTGCATCTGCTTCCGTCTGTTTGTGGAAGAGGGTTCAAGTTTCTCTGGGGTTGTGGGTTGTAGGCTGGGTATCTTTTGCTTTATGTTTGGTATCCACTTAAGAGTGAGTACATACTGTATTTGTCTTTCTGAGTCTGGGTTAGCTCACTCAGGGTGTTTTTTTGTTTTTGTTTTTCTAGTTCTGTCCATTTGCCAGCAAATTTCAGTCATTCTGTAGGGCGCCATCTTGTCCTGTTGACTGTGTTCTTTGCTTTACAGAAGCTTCTCAGTTTTAGGAATTCCCATTTGCTAACTGTTGCTTTGAGTATCTGTGCTACTGGTGTTCTATTTAGGAAGTGGTCTCCTGTGCCTATGAGTTCAAGGATATTTCCCACTTTGTCTTCTATGAGGTTCAGTGTGGATGGATTTATATTGAGGTCTTTGATCCATTTTGACTTGAGTTTTGTGCCTGGCGATAGATATGGATCTATCTGCATTCTTCTACATGTTGACAGCCAGTTATACCAGCACCATTTGTTGAAGATGCCTTCTTTCTCTTTTCCATTTTATATTTTTAGCTTCTTTGTCAAAAATTAGGTGTTCATAGGTGTATTGGTTGATATCAGGGTCTTCCATTCAATTCCATTGGTCCACCTGTCTGTTTTTATGCTAATATCAAGCTGTTTCATTACTATCGATCTATAGTAGAGCTTGAAGTCAGGGATGGTGATGCCCTCAGATGATCCTTTACTGTATAGGGTTGTTTTGGCCATCCTGTGTTTTCGTTTTTCCAAATGAAGTTGAGTATTGTTCTTTTGAGGTCAGTGAAGAATTGTGCTGGGATTTTGATGGGGATTGCATTGAATCTGTAGATTACTTTTGAAAGGATTGCCATGTTTACTATGTTGATCCTGCCTATTAAATACTTAAAGTTCTTGTCATACAGGTCTTTTCCTTGTTTGGTCAAAGTTACCCAAAGATATTTTTTGTTATTTGTAGCTATTGTAAAGGGTGATGTTTCTCTGATTTTTTTTTTCTCAGCCTGTTTATCATCTGTATATAGGAGAGCTACATTTTTTTTTTTTTGAGTTAATCTTGTATACTGCTACTTTACTGAAGGTGTTTATCAGTTGTAGGAGTTCCCCGGTAGAATTTTTAGGGTCACTTGCATAAACTATTGAAAGGATGAAAAAATACAGCCTAAATCTCCAATGATCCCAGGAAGCTAAAAGTTTAAAAAGCCCTAAAAACCTCAAATTCCAGACCCTGTCCTTTGCCAGTAAATAGGGAAGGTCACACTCCTTGTTGTTTACAACAGACAGACCCTTGAGTATGTAGATTTGGCCTAGTAAGATAACAGAAGATGAGCTTACTAACCACTTATCTGACTTCATAAACTGCTTGTGAAACCCCCGCCCCGTGACCTACGTGTGGGCTTTGTTGTAAACCCTATAAAAGCTGTCTCAATTCTGCCCTTGGGGGTCCTCAGTCCAATTTGTATCCTTTTGGTGTCCTTTTGTTGTCTTATTGGAAAACCAGAACTTCTGGTACTATGTTGAATAGATGTGGAGAGAGTGGACAGCCTTGTCTTGTTCCTGATTTCAGTGGGACTGCTTTTGAGTTTCTCTCCATTTAGTTTGATGTTGGCTGTTGGGTTTCTGTATATTGCCTTTATTAT